TGCTGATTTTGTAATAGCTGACTTGAAAGTCTAGCTGTGATATGCAACTATAGAGCATTACAGCCATTTGAAAGCTATTTGATGAAAAGTAAATGCTAATGAGCTATTTATCTCATCAATACATTTTGTTGTCCTTTATACTGACAGCCCTCACCAGGATTGCTATGCTATGTCTTTCAGAATAGTAAAATACTGTTTTATTTTCTATGTGGGTCAGAGAGAAAGAGCCCCATAAATTAAAAAGCTTGTACTTGACACAGAAGGATGATTAAGCATTGTGGTATGTCCTTTGCAGTGGGAAAGATAAAATTATACAATTTTATTGGGGAAATAATTGAATTTGGCAGAAAGAATCATCTCCAGTTTCAAAGTTATTTACTCTCAATTTTCTGAAACAATGGTTTACTGTAAAAAACTTGACCAAATTGCCTTGTCTCTCAGATAACCATAGGAAGCAAAACACAGTGATGTCTGGAATGATCAAGTCTAACTACATACACATAGGAAAAAAAGAATGTTTTGAGTGGGTATTTTAAGTAGCTTTGGGTGATTGGTTTGATTAGAGGTGATTATTTAAGCAACCTTAGACATCTGGCTGAACATAGTAGCGTACTTACAGACTTGTGGAAATCTTGGCACTTGAGTCAGAAAGAGAATAGCCATGGGCAATGAGGTATAAGAAAGAAAACTTTATCTTCTTTCCCCACCTTTCTTCCCTCACTCTTGTAAGTAGGCTGGTTTTGGTGAATGATCTCTGTTCACACCGCTGCAGTGAGGGTGAATCTAGTGTGCACTTTGAATAAGAGAAGATATTGAATGCTCTCCAGAAAAGTGCTGCCTTTACTTTTAAGTTGATGGAAAATGATCAGCAATGAGAGCTGAGAACAACTTCAGTTTAGCATTAGCTAAATAATGAAAAATTGTCATTATTTACTCAGTGATATGATTTTCCTGTAAATTTTCAAGGAAATTACAATGAAAGCATGTAGGTAATCACTGAGTTTATGACTGTGTTTGAAATATCAGTGAAAAGTATTTTCTTTCTAAAAAAAGCTGTTAAAATGTTCTCTCAATGTATTTTTGGATATTTAAAAAGGCAGGAGTAGTTATTATCTACCATTATTTCAAATGTATTATTCAATGCATACAATTTTCATCTTACATCTATGGAAATAGAGTGGAATCTTATATAAATAGCCTTCTGCTATTTTTTAGTTTGGTGAAGGAGATGTTTTCAGTTTTAAAGGCTAAATTGACATATCAAACCAATATCTTCCCTCACATAGTAGCCTTATATTTGTTTTCACTATTAATAATACTTTAAAATTGAGGTACTATAATTTAGAAGAATGCAGAAAGTACTTTGGTAGGATTTTCACTGAAAGAATTAAGGTTGGTAATAATAANAATCATACTTTAAAATTGAGGTACTATAATTTAGAAGAATGCAGAAAGTACTTTGGTAGGATTTTCACTGAAAGAATTAAGGTTGGTAATAATAATCAGATATTTTGAAAGACATTGTTAATGCAGAAGTATCAGTTCTCTTTATAGAATTCAAAGTTTTCCACAGCTTTGTTTTGAACAGTTGAAGTTTGAAAGTTCAGAATGAAAGTTCACAAGCCGGATACCTTCCAGCAACATAGACAACACTGAAGTTTTCTACAGACTGATTTTGGCTGTAATGGAGCTCTTTTTCTTTATAGCAGCCTGTATGGTGCTGTGTTTTGAATTTGTGACTAAAGCAGGGTTGATAACAAACCAATTTTTGGGCTATTGATGAGCAGCACTTCCACATCATCAAGGCCTTTTCTTTTTCCTTCTCTATCTCCCTCAAATGTTGTAGGCTGGAAGTGGGCAAGAAGCTGGTAGTGGTCAAGGTCAGGAGAGCTGATCCAAGTTGGCCAAAGGGATGTGTCATTCCATATGACATTGTGCTCATCTGTTAAAGGAAACCAGGAGGAAGTGGAATAATTTGTGGTAATGGCTTTCATATTCCCAAGTAAACCTTCCACATGCTGGGTTTTTCCCAAATTACATGGACATCTACCTGCCAAAGGCAAGCAAAATTGTTAATTTGCTTTGTTTGTGCACGCATTTTACTTCATTTATTAAGCTGCCTTTATCTCAACTTATGAGTTTTTCTGATTTTGCCCTTCCAAAACTTTACTCTAGTGAGCTGGGAGGGGAGTGAGTAGGTGGGTGGGGTCTTAAGACCAGTGTCAATGTCACAAATGCCATTAGTCTGATAATATGGGAAAGTAGAAAAGTACGTCAGATTTTCAGAGAAGTGAGCTCAGTTGAGGGTGCCAGAAAAAGTTACTAAGACTGTATTTGGGCTACCTGTACAAAAAAGAGAGATTAAAGGGTCCTTTTTTCCATTTGTTTCTGATGTTAGTGATTGGTATTAGGTAAGCATGGTGGAGGCTGGGGAGCAGGATGGGTGTGCTGGTACCTTAGGCAAGCCAGGGTTTGATGATGAGGCTACAGAAGAGAACAGACACTTTTTAGAAGCTTTCTTGTGAACCCCTCAGGATCAACATCATCAGCAACAGAGAATACTGTAAGGAAGAGGCAACAGGTGATGGTCTGGGTTACACTCTAGAAGAACTAGTTCCCACCTTCTTTAGAAGGAGTAAAACAAGCACCATCAAGAGAGGTAGTTATTTACTGGGCTAATACTAGCCTTGCTCTAGATAAATTTAGTATATCCCATTTATGAAAATTATTTTTTCTTTAATTCTTCTCCCTCAATACTGAGAAATTATTTACCAGAAGAAAGGTATGCAAATGTACTAGTGTTTCCAGCTACATTTTGTTTGTGTGAGCTTGTGTTTTGGTTTTGTTTTTATTACAGTTATCCTGCTTTGCAGAGATGCATATTTTCTCTTTGCAGAGAAAAGGAAATATGATGAAAATAGTAAACCATTACCCAAAGCTCAAACAAAGGAAATGCTCTAAACCATGAAAAATTCAAGAGTTTCTCTTTAATTTCTCTGAGTTAGGCAAATTGAGACCTGAATAAGTCTTGCATAAAGCACAGACAAATAAATGTCTGAACCAAACTGTGGAGTGCTCCACCACATTTTTAAAATGGGGTGAAGTCCTGAAAGCTTGGGTTTCATCCATACAAGTTTTGATAGTACTATTTTTTTTTTCAAGGTATTTTTATCTTATGAATTAATGTAATTTTCAATATTTTTTTAAACCAAGTGCAATTTGCAATATTAAAAAAGGGCAATGATTAACATTTCCAGCAAGATGTTAGGGAGGAACTCGGGGAAAAGGAAGAAAAAAGTCCCAGTGTTAGAGGTATGTAGACAGTGTCTTGCAAGGGTGATGTGCACTGAATTTACTAGATTTCAGTTAAGCTTTTGTGGATATTATTTCTGGTTTTTCTTTTTTATTCTATTCCCTTGGTGATACATTTTGCAGTAGGTAGACATGCATACTCACAGTGCATTGGAATAAGCTTTTAGCCTGCCTTCCAAAATACATACTCTCCTGTATTTTTCAGATAGTATGCGTAATTTTAAATTTTTATAACGTCTAGGAAAACTATCAGTAGATCCAAATGTGGCTTGGCATTCAATAAACTTAAATCTCATGAAAATTCAGGCCTGCACTACAGTGAATGTAATTTCTATATACAGAGAACATTCTTGGCAAAGATCTAGTTTGTCTAATTAGGTGCTTCATGCATAGATCATAGGTATTTGGCTCTAGCACACTCCTAAGTATCCAATTTAAGGTCTCCAATGCAGTTGAGGACTAGATGGATCTAAAACCATTGTGGCCATATTGGCCAGACATGAGCTCTTTCTTTATAGTTAGAAAGCTCTTAACAAAGAGTCCAACATAGTATATGTTGCCTTTCATTGTAACCGCCTTTATCAGAAAGATAAAGGAATTCTCTTGCGAGTTAATGTCCAGCAAGAGGCCAATGGTACCCTGGAAGGACCTACTGCTTTATTTCCTGCACATAATATTTTATGCTTATCTTTAGTCTTTATTGAATTTTAACTTATTGAATTAAATCTTTTTCTCTGGTCTTTCAAGAACTATGTGAATTCTAATCCTATCCTCCAAAGTACTTCCAAACATTCACACCAGATTTTGTATTGAAACAATTTATTCCATAGTGAAGAGCATTAGTGGAGATATTGACCACTATCTTGCCCACTACAGACCACTCAAAACTCCCCTAATGTAGCCTGAGGGTAAGTTATGAATCAGGAAAGTCACTGTCAAAAATTAGTGATTAGTCCTAATAAATTCAATGGTCATTTGACTGCATGTCACCTTGCTATTCTTTTCAATCAAATTCTCATCTTTCAAAGTTAATACAGAAATTTTGCTTCTAGTAACTCTTTAATCCAAGTAACTTCACAGAAAATAATATTTTCAAGTTATTTTTCCATTAGGCATTTTTTTTCTGGAAATTGCAACTGGATATGTTAATTATTTCACTGTTTTTAAGATTTAGAAGTGACCTAAACTATCAGACTTGTATCTTACGGACTTGCTGGATCCTTTGACTGCATTAATTTTCATTGGTTTGAGATACACAGACAGATAGATAGAGTAAGCTTTTTTCTAGGTTCTGAAACTGCAACCTACTGAATTTCTTTTATAGAAACAGCCTTCACTGACACATCTCTAACCTGTTACTTGGCAACCTTGACACATTAGGTATTAGCTGCCATTGATGTCACTTTCTTGCCTTAAAGAAAAACAAAACAAAACAAAACAAAACAAAAAAAAACAAACAAAAAAACCCCCAAAAAACAACAAAAAAAACCCCACAAAAACAAAAACAAAAAAACCCCAAAAAAACAAAAAAACCCCAACCAAACAAAAACAAACAAACAAACAAACAAAAAACCCCACCAAAACAAAAAAAACCCATTGAAACTTTAAACAGAAAAACCAAAGCTGGGGTCTGGCTTTCCAAACCATTGAAACATTTTCTATTTTGACAGCTCATTCTGTCAAAGTCTATACAATTATTATTTATTCAAAACAGACAATATACCTCTGATATCAAGTCAATAAATAGAGAATTATCCGGTAACAGACCCAGTAGATCTTTATATTTCATATTGCTATTAATGTTCAGTAGCAACTTTTACTGTTGTCTTTTTCTGTGCCTTCCTTTTCTTTGGAAGGACGAAAGGAAAAGAGGAATCTCCAATGGCTGTCTCAATCATATTGGTATGAAGAGTAGACCATTTATTCAAATTCAAATAACCATCACAGAATCTAGGAGACAGGACTATGATATTTATGGAGTAAGGCTGAATTCTTAATGAGGATAATGAATATTTTCTACCTAACAACTCCAACACATGCTGCAGCTCCAATTTACGTCAATTTACGCCAGACAGTTTCCAGCTTCTTCTGTTCAATCCAAGGACATCAAAGGTAAGTTTAATTTTCTTTCTCCTGATGCTAGAGTCATTAGGAAACCTGTCATTCAAATTTCAGGAGCTCAACTGCAGTAAAGTATTTATAATCTAAATACTGATATATGATTTTCCTTATCAAGCCACTGATGATGCCTTGACTTGATATACATCCCATGTGGCCAGATGAAGATGTTGGGATAGAGTGAAACCATGATTATTGCTGTTTTCCTCACCTCCTCACTGCTTCAGCCAAGTGACCTGCTGTAGCTCAGGCTACATAAATGCCACTGGCATTTATGGCAGTTTTATAAATCTCTCTGAATCTTATAATTGAATTGTGATATGGCAATTGTTCCTGAGATGAGTAGAGCAAAAGGTATAGGAAGCTGATATGATGCAAGTTTTCAACTAAGGGTGATACAGTGTGTGGAAAACAAATTACAGACATAAGTCTTAGAAGAAATGTAGTGACAGAACAAAATGTGAGAACATTGAAACAATCAAAATGAAAGCTTTTATGTACAAAATCAACCCAATTGGACCCATAAGAGGATACTGTCATAAAGAGTGAGAAAAAAGTTGTATAATTTGTGCATAGTCAAAGAGGAAATTAAAATCAGAATACATGGGAAATGATTAAACAGAAAGATCAAGAGCTAGCAAAAGTACAAACTTTTCACAGCAAGAAGTCAAGCCCAGTTAGTACTGTTGTGTTCAAATGACACCAGAATATTTTTTTTTGTCCATAGGAAAGATCCTCCTTTGACTTTGTTATCTGCTGAGCCAAATAAGAAAACTGATTTACTTTTATCTAACATCCACTGTATCATTGAAAAAGTAGGTACAACATCTACCAGTATCAAAGCTTTGGTGAATGAAGAAATACTTGATACAGTAATGTTGGCAGTGTTGAGAGATGGCCTAATATTGTTTCTGTATGTGATATGGAAGCATACAGCGATGTCGAATGAGTTGTAAATCAAGGCTAGATATCTACAGATTTAATGAAGTACTGACTTAGCAATATTTAGACCAAAGACCAGGTGTGCTGTTAAGAAGCAGAATTGTCCTAGATTAATTCAGAGGTCATCTAATGCCAGCTGTGAAGAATACTGCCAAGAAAATGAATATTGATCTTGTAATTATATAATGAGGACTGACATCAAAACTCCCTACATAGTAGTGAAAATGCCCTTTAAAGACTGGTTAAAATCTTTATACTCAGAATGGCTATTGGCAGGAAACATGCTCCCCTTTCTACAGGAAAAATATGGAATAATGAAAAACTACCCTGCCACTTCAAGACCATCAGATCAGATCAGATAAATCCATAACTTGTAGCTAATGTTTTTAAGAAATACTATATTTTAGATTCCATGGATGGAACACACATTCTTATGAATACAAAGCAGAATCTGAAAATAGGGAAGACACTGAAAGTGAAGAATAGATTGAATATGGTGAAGAGAATTAAAATAATGTATGAATGTAAAAAATGAGAATTAGTATAGCATGTGAGAAGAGTACAGATCACATTCAGGCAAACTGTTAGAGAAAATATTTTTATACTAATTATAGCTTTGAACTAAGAACATTTCTGTGTATAAAATTCTTTTGAGGGTCAATTTAAACTCCATATCCTCCTTCTTTCTGGTTGGTATGATACACTTACATTTTAATGGTGTGATTGATAGATTTAGATCTTTCCTGCCTCTGTCCACTTATATCCACTGTTGTGGAGCATCTGTGACACTGTGGCTTGTGCTGATATAACACTGAACTGAATCACTATAATGAACTCGGTTATAAGACCAAGGAAAAGAAGACCAAATAGTTTGAAATTGAGTTTGCAATCAACTGAATCATCATAGTTGAGAGACCCTTGGGGCATAATGGAAAAATTGATACCTTGAGTAAACATTGTATGTACATGTTGCCACTCAGTACTACATTTTCCTTTTTTTCTTTTTCTTTTCATATAATTCTTGTCATATTCTAACTGCACTTCCATGTTACACATGAAAACACTGATTATTAACCTCACCAACTATTTCCACTGTATATCTTTCACCAAATGCAATGTCTGTATTTAGAGATCATTCTCTCAAATTTGGAATTCACTAGTCATCATCATTCAACCTAGAATGCAAGAGTGACACTGTTGCATTACTGGAGTTACTCTGCATGAGAACAGAACAGTGGACAGAAAAACCAGAAGCAAAGTAAATAATGGAAAGACTTTAGGTAGGTGAAACAGTGAAATGTGTTACAGAGTCAATGTATTCAACTCATAGTATCAAACAGTTTAATTAGAATTTTTATTTTCAGAATATAATCAAGATTCCAATTTTTTTCTTCATCCTAAGAAACAGTGAGAGTCTTTGCCAGCCTCATCGCAGAAGTATAGATCTCACATTCCTAAGCCTCAATAAAGAGAATCTGTCAGTTCCTGCCGTACTGAACCACAGCTTTTGTAGTGGTTCAGTCACATTGTGTTAGCTATAGACCCAAAGACTATCTATTCAAAAAGCAGGATAAGCCATTCCTTAAACAACCACGTTTAAGGTTTGTGCCCATTAGGGTGAACAGCTTTTGATTAATTTTCTTGTAGATAAGAACTAATCGTGTGGAATGCAAACTTAATTATAGGTTAGTTTAAAGAGCTGTAGGAGCTCCTAGGATAGTTTTAGTGTTTGTTCTTTTAATGGTCAGAGTACTCAATCTGACCACTGGTATTTATTTTTACACAATATTTATATGAATTCCATTGTGAGGGGATAAAAGTCAATATATTCTAAATTGTTTTTAATTTAGGTTTGTGATTTACCTTATTTTGATTTATCTAATTTTGTGGACTGAAATTTCTTTTTAGAAAAATTGGAAGATGAAAATATTTTGCCCTTACAAATGTTGCTTCCTAAAGAGACCTTAACCAGTTTCAATATAAATCAAAATAATAAGTTTTAAGTCCCTAGTTCGCTATAAAATTTTCTTTGAATAGACAAATGACAGCTATGATATTCTTTGCACATACCTTTAAAATTTTTTTTAAACAAAAGCATTCACAGGAAAATGAAATTAATCCATGTTCTTCCAAAACACACCATCTGTTGAAGTTTTATACTAACGTGATAGAAAGAGTTCACTGCAATACCTGGTTTTATTGGAAAGATTTATCTCCCCCCTAAGCAAACTAATTCATGAATGAACTAGGATATACTTGGTCATAGCAATTGTTTGATCTGAAAAGCTTTGAATTCAGATTCATGCCTAGAACTCTAGATATTTTAAACTGATTCACTGATCTTTTTTGAAGTTCAAATACTAAAATAGTAATCTTGCTTCCATCTTTCAAAACCTTGCTTGTACTAGAGTCCCTGACAGGGATAATACAACATATATTTTTGTTCCTATCTAATAATTTTCAAACCAATTTTTTAAAGTCATGAGTATGACAAGAAAAGAAATTTTTTTTCTGTTTTGGATCTGGTCCAACTCTAAGGAACGTATTTTTCAATCCATATTAAATGGATCAGCTACTATGTGCAATTAATGCAACAGTTCCATGAAAGCAATAGGTGAAGGAAGATAAGGGATTCTGCCTTTTGGGACAGATAGGTTTCAGTGTAAAGCGTTGACATTATCAGTTGCTAAAAATCAATTATTACATAGTAATTAGCGTGGGAATTCAAATAACAAACACTTTAGAAAACTAGTTAACATAAACACTCACCATAGAAAACCTTATTGTTTCCTCCTTCAAAGGAGAGGTTCAAGATTACAATAGGGCAACCTGGAGAAAGAGAATTTACAGAGGTTATAAAAAGATCTGTAGAATGAGATTTTTGGCATGAAAAGGGAGGATTGAGATAAAAATCTCAACTCTGTGATGATCACACTTGCCAGATTCAGAAAGAGACGGATAAAATTTCTAGTCACTAGGAGCCAGGTTCAAAATAGAAAAAGATGTCTCTTTTCAAAAAGATTTTTGCTACAGCATGCTCTGGATTTAACAAGTTTAGAGAGTCTCAGGGGAGCTACAGAAAAGATTGAAAGGATAAACCATGTGTTGCTAAACAGGCCTACGGTACTTGAGCTGAGGAATTCTTTCACACAAAAATAGTTCCATCTTCAGAGGATATTACAGGGTGTGGTTATTTAAGTTTGTCCTGTTCCTAGTCTTCCTATCTAGACATTTACTTTGGTTCACTGCTGGAAAAATAATGTTAGGTTAGATTGATTCTAGGCCTCAGATATTGAAACCATTCATATATTCTTGAATTCTACCAAAACTGTTGACTTTGAAGGACTGTGGGTCATGTGGATCAAATTCTGCATTGGCAAAAGGAAGTACAGATTCTGCAATCAATGGGCATCCTTAAGTTTGTGCTCAATTATACACCTAAGTACTCAAATAAGTAATCAAATTCTTTATGAAGAAGTAGAACTGCTCTTAAGGTAGACAGAGTTTCTGTAAGGATTCTGTAAGTTGTGATATGATAAAGACTGTGAAATGAACCCAGTTTTTCACTGGAATACAAACGATGACTAGACCTACAAGAAATCAGAACCATCATCTCTTCTGGTATATTTCTCACCATGCAATCAGTATGCTCTGTCATATTTGCCAATTATTTCAAGAAACACCTTGTTTCACATAATTTTCTGTTGTACCTTTCAACACTTACCATATCACAGCTAAAAACAAGGCCAGCATCTCACTGCTGAAAGAATAAAAGATAATAATAAAAGAAAAGGAGCAGTCTTCTGGAAAATGCCAGACTTCTATTATGGCTGCAGTGAACTGAATAAAAGGACAGAAATTTTGTTTTCCAAAGACTTATCCTTCCTGCCCAGTCCTACCGATTCATGAAAGCACACTGGCAGTTAGGATAATGCCACTTAAACCCTAAGATTAGTTTCATACTTAAAGATGTACTGAAGTGCTTTTCTGGACCTGGGCCAGATGCTCAGCATCTTCCAGAATCAAGCTCATATTTATGAGTACTTCATAAGTAAGGAAAATCATAAAACTGAATGGTTTTGTTCCCATAAAAAGGGAAATATAAAGCCCTCAGTGCAAGGTAACCATGTGTTGAGTACTCATAGAACATTTTTTCCTTTGTTAATTAAGCAAAAATTTCATATGGGTGGGGCATTTCCTGGCAGCTGATGTTGAGGCAAGAGCCGTGAGTTTTAATTGCCACTTAAATCTAGGGCACTTCATTGAACAAACAGGTGGAGCATATCCACTTTGAATGTATGCAAACAGCTTGCCTTATCATAGAAAGGAGAATGAGTTTTCTGATTGATTAGTTCCTTTTTATTCCAAGCAGGTTGTGGCCAATTGCAGTAACTGCAGATTTTCTGCATTGAATGTTAACGCAGTTTGCATAGAAAACTAATTCAAAGAGAACACTTAAGAGTTTTAAAATCTGTACTAACGTGAAAGAAAAAGCAACCAAGCAAGCATATTTCATTTATAACTCCTGGAAATGGGAATTATTAATTGAATTATGTGGCTGAAAAGGAAAAGAATCTATTTAAATGTGACAAGTCTCATTGGCTTTGAACAAGCAACTATTTCTAGGCTGACACTTTGTAGAATATACGATTTAGCTAGGAATCAGATATTAAAGTACATTAAACTGGTTACTAAGCTACATTCTGTGATCTGGAAAACAACTCAGTGGTTTATATTTTTTTTTAACATAGAGAGAAAGGGAAAATGCATTTGTGAAATGTGCTCCACTTTATTCTAATAATAAGTGGTTAGCTTTTAAGAAAGATTTCTTTCCTCTGAATCAGCTGTCAAGACCAAGGTAACTCATACAAACACCTCTCAGAGACAGCACGTTGCTATTTTCAGAGGTTTAGATAAGCTGGTAGTAGATAATACATAACCTATCTGCTCTATTTAGATGCATAATGGCAAGGCTGAAGAACACTTCAGAGCTAAGCAGCTGTATGGTGGATCTAAGTCTTCATAATTTTAGGATTAGTTTATACTTTTGATGTTCAGTAATTGAAGCCCTTGATTCCAGCATCAGTGTGTTAATATATGAAACGATGGAATCTGACTAAGCTGGTGTTGTACTTTGTGACATCGCTTTATTCACCTGAACCTGATGCAAATTTGCAGATTAGCCTACAAAGGTCTATGTCTTATCTTTATTTATTTTTTTATGACTAAGGTAAAAAAAATTGCAAACATTTTTACTAGTGTCTACAATATTTTTCTGCATTTTTTTCTATATTATGTATTTCTTCAAGCATAATTTAGAGCTAAAATAGGAGGATGAAATAACTCTTCATATTACACTAGACAGGATGTTATTTCTTGAGAGGAAAGTAACATGACCTTCAGGTCATTTTGGGTGGTTAAATCTGCTCTGAGTTTATTTTGAAGAGAATGTAAAGCATAAGAACTGATGTGTGAACCAATGTCTAAACCACAGAGGAAAGGAAATAATTTAGGAGGAGCAAAGCAGTTATGGTTTAAAAGCAGGACAAAGTCTAATAGAAAAATCATGTACTCCATCCAACCCAGAGGGCCAAGGTAAGAGCATGGTTAGAGGTCAGATAGATGGCCAGCTACATGGAGAATCAGAGCAATGAGTAGCTCCTGGGGGACTAACTAAAAAGGAAGAAAGGGGATGCAAATGGATTTTGAGTACAAATAAATCCTGGAAGGGCAAGAAGCATAGAGTTCAAATGATATGGGAAATGAGTATCAGTGAAGGAAGGGCTCTTCTCCATGAAATCTGTAACTTGCAAAAGATCCTTGCCAAGACATCAACTTAGAAATTTTGGTTTGGAATGGGATTGATTTTTATGTGTGAAAAACAAAAGACAATAACGGATGCTTAACAGACAGCAGAAGTGTTTTTATGTGTGCAACATGCACATGCCAAAAAAAGATGCTGATCTAGTCTATTTATTTCAGGTAACACATAGCAATCAGCTGTCACTGTGATAGGCACAGCATAACTCAATACAGCCTGAAAAAGTATTCTGACTTACATTTTCTTAAAATCTAACTGCATTTCCTAACTGTAGGCTAGAAAACATAGTAATAAAATTACAGCAATATTTTAGAAAGGTGGTCGCAGTGATAGTCTGGAATTGCCTGTAGAAAACATATCCTTATTTAGTACTGTGTCTCTGAGATGAGTTTTAAAATTACCTTTCTTCCATTACATGTCCTCCTTAAAGAGTTACTAAAGGAATTTTGTAGTGTATTTTAATAGGATTTTTTTTCTCAGTAAGACTTCTTTCTTCAGAGTCCACATTTGAAGGTGACTATGGCAGTTTTCAGTGAGAACAGATAAAAACAGATCAAGAGGAACTACTCTTAGGACACGGTGATTAAAGCATATTTAAAAAAGAGAGGATGAGATAAGTACATTTGCATATTAATTTTATACAGAAAGTTAAAATACTAGAAAAATTTTGATCCAATTGCAAGCTTGGAAAACTATCTTACATTTTTCATTTTAAAGCATCTACACTTAATAAGGTAGTGGTTAATTTTTCATTAAGAAAATAAATATTGAGATCTTTAAACTATTCCTACTCCTTGGGACACAAATCTCTTCTTCAGGAAACTGAATATTTATTCTGTTATTTATTGGAAAATAAAGGAGTCAATTGGGCCTCTGTTTTTGCATCTTTAATTTTAGCTTAAAATTGTGAAATTGTAAAACATTATATCGGTTTTTAGTCTTGGTGCTCTGTGTGAATGCACAAAATAAGAAACAATTTGAAATTTGTAAAAATATGGCATGATTAAACCCAGCTGTTACTGAAGGATAGAAATGTTATTTTAAATCATGTGCTTTATTGAAGATCAAATATTGGTGTTATGATGATTTTGCTGCTATCATATTTAAAGAATGGTTTCTACAGAATGAGATTGGGACGAAGATGCTACTGTAGTGTAGCAAGGCCATTTTACAAAAGTGGTTTTTGATGGCTGAACCTCAGCTATTTAAAAGAACGTCACTTCCGTAAAGAGAAGCTGAATTATCTAATTTTTTCACACCAATGGACTACACCTGATATAAGTCAGTCCTTCCAAAGCTTAAAAGGAATTGATGACAATAACTGGGTAGAAAATTTCACAATGGAAATGTGGGACCGAATAATCCTTTCTACAAAAAGTATTTCGCAGTAAAAATTTTATACATCTTTCTGTCTTTAAAAGACTTTGCGTAAGGTGTTGCATTAGCTAAGCTTATGGTAGCAATCTAAAAAATTAAATTTTTCGTCTAAGTTCTGTCTCCCAGAACATGGGAGAAAAATTAACTGGTGAGAATAATAACACTGCCTGTACAGTTTCCACTGGGATGAAATGGTCTGGTTAATCAGTTGAGATTATTAGAAAGGGCTTTTAAGAATTTCATTTACAATCAATATGTAACAAGATTTCAAAGCTGATGATTTGATTAAATATTTGTGTCCAGATGTGTTCAAGGGCAGGCTGGATGTAGCTTTAAACAACTTGTTCTAGTGAAAGGCATGCATGGAGGGCAGCTGGAACTAGATGATTTTAAAGGTCGCTTCCAACCCAAACCATTCAATGATTCAATGCGTTATTTCAAGTCAATCTCACACCTGTTTTCACCCCTTGTACTTTACAGTCCTATCTTTATCACATATTTAAAGAGAGGCTATAATGAGTTCTGGAATGCAAAGTGAAGGTGACAGACCTGTACCCATAAAAAGTCTCTGACTATTTGCTGGCTCACATAGGTGACTTCTCATTTCAATCAGAGCTGTCTCTGTGCCTAAATGATACTGCATTCAGTATTGAAGTTCTGACGTTTAAATTATATTGCTCAGTAGTTAAGTTCTTTTCATCAAGAATAGATGTGGGGTTTTTTCTGCTATGAGCTCTTTTGGCAACGGGCTTTTCAATGTTTTTTAGCTTTATTTCATTACTGGCAGCATGGAAGTCTTGTAACGGGCAAAATATAAGTCGACTATGACCTTCCTTTAATCCTATAGCTTAAAGTTCTAGTCTTTAGCAGGTTTCAAACACCCATCTCTTTCTGTGGCATTAATATGTAATACTTTGATCCAAAATCTATCCTTCTTTAAAGCATGCCTTTATATTTCTCTTTACAAGAACACTAGGTACTTGCAGACCTACTTATCTTTTCATATTTTGGACACTTCTCAGATAGGCTTATCTCTATTTACTATAT